TGGCCTGCTGCTCCGGCAACGTCGGTCAGACTGTCCTGCCCTCCATGGCCGGTGACGACTGATCCACCAAATGAGACGGAAGTCCGCAAGGAACTCCAACTCTTGAAACGTTACAAATCACCGGGCCCCGAACGACTTACCTCCGGCTCTTTTTAAAGATGGTGGTGACTTTTTGACTAATGGACTGACGACTTTGTTTGCAAAGGTCTGGGAGCTAGAGAGTGTACCAACGTCATGGAATAAGTCGATAGTTGTCCCTATCTTTAAAAAGGGTTCACGTCGTTCCTGTGACAACTATCGGGGGATAAGTCTACTTCCGATTGCGTCCAAGCTATTGGCTTCCGTTATACTTCGTAGGTTGTTGAAAACCCGAGAAAGATTGACTCGCGAGGAGCAGGCTGGGTTTCGTTCCGGTCGAAGATGTATTGATCATATCTTCACCCTCCGCCAAGTGTTAGAACACCGTCATACTTATCAAAGGCCAACAATCGTAGTGTTTCTTGATATCAGGGCTGCTTTCGATTCGTTGGACAGAACTGTTCTCTGGGATTGTCTATTAAAGAAGGGTGTGCCTGATAAGTTTATTAACATCCTAAAAGCCCTATACACAAACACCTCAGGCAGAGTGAGGGCATACAATCACCTTTCTCCACTATTCCATTCAAGCAGTGGGGTTAGGCTGGGTCGCCCAATCTCACCATTCCTCTTCAACTTTGCCATCGATGATACTGGAAACAGCTCTGATGGATGTAAGTAATGGCAGTGTGGATCTGTTGCCTGGAGAAAGACTTCTCGACCTTGAGTATGCGGATGATATTGTCTTACTGTGTGAGAATGCCCAAGCCATGCAATCCATACTTAATCATTTGGCAATTAGCGTCCGTAGGTATGGTATGTGCTTTGCACCTTCGAAGTGCAAAGTACTTCTACAAGACTGGCAGGATTCTAATCCTGTACTCACTGTGAATGGTGAGCAGATAGAAGTAGTCGAGAAGCTCGTGTATCTAGATAGCTGCGTAAGTGCTGGTGGTGGCTTGAGTGATGAGATCAATGCATGTATAGTGAAAGCCAGAGTGGCTTATGCCAATCTGGGCCATCTTTTGCGCCTTCGTGATGTTAGTCTGGCTGTAAAAGGTCGGATCTACAACGCGTCAGTGAGAGCGGTTTTGCTCTATGCTTGTGAAACCTGGCTTCTCCGAGTTGAGGATGTTAGACGACGCTCTGTGTTCGATCATCGTTGTCTCCGAAGAATAGCTGACATTCAGTGGCAACACCATGTCAGTAATGCAGAGGTTTGGCATCATGTGTTCGGGCACAGAGACGATAATGCAATTGGTGTCACCATCTTGAAACACTGACTTCGGTGGCTTGGACATGTTCTACGAATGTCGTCCCAGAGAATTCCTCGTCGTGCATTATTTGCCGACTCTAGGACTGGTTGTAAAAAGCGGAGAGGTGGTCAGTATATGACATGGTGTCGTGGTATGAAAGAAAGCTGCAAAGGGCTGGCTTGTGTTGGACCTTCATAACTCCCTGGCTGGGGTCCGAGAGATGGTGTAACACAGTGGCTAGAGACGTTATCAGATATGGCTCAGAATAGAAGCCAGTGGCGATCCTGCTGTAACCTTCTTTTACTTTCTTCATAAAAAGTGGTTGTATCCTCCTTAAATGTTAGATTTCTTCTGAGTGTACCTTTTCGTCTCCTCCCATTATTGTTCTTTTTCTTTATTTTATAATCCCCTACGTTCCTTACTTTTTTCGCTTCTTAAATTCTCATTGTTTTGTGTGGCGCATATATATTTGGTGCCTCCCTGTACCAATATTTATGTGTTCAAATAAATAAATAATAATAAATAATAATACCAAGGTCCGAAGGCGAAGTCGTACTGCTGATTGTACAGAGATGTGACAGCAGTAAGGTGTTTACTTCAGACAACTGGCATAACAGCGATTCTGCCTTCCCACAAGGAGGAGTGGGATTAGAAAAGGTCGACCCTAAAAATGCACACCTCGCCTTATCACACGGATATCCGTCTCCGGCGATAAGGTCTCAACAAGTACGGAGCTAACACAAAAACTACTCATGAAAAGGTCGTGTGTGACCGACTTCAAACAGTCGTCCCTTGGGTACTGCAGTCACACTCTCAGGTCACTAAAACCACTTCTAACCCAATTTCCTTTTCAGGTACCTCCAAGAGAACCCTTCCACGGTGTGGGCGACCGTGAAGTTATAACCGCCCTCATACCTCTAACAGCACTCAAGACCACTGTATTCATAATCAACCTCCCTCTTCAATTCCTCCTATTCCTCCTACATTGACTTTCAAACCTAAACTTCCTCCTTTAGTTTCCTCCTCAAGTATCACCATAGCCAACGATTCTAGTGCGCAAAACACTGTCCCAGGTCTACTGAAACCTCGCTCCAAACTACACATTGGAGCCTTCAACGTACGCACACTATGTCAAATCTGTCAGCAGGCATCCTTGGCTAAAACCCTAGAATCTCGTACAATTAATGTATGATGTGTCTCCAAAACACACATACAGGATACTAGTGTGGTCATTCACTTGACCTCATCTCAGCCGACGAGATACACCCTCCGTGTATCTTCCTACTCAATGGCTCTTTCTCGTGGACTGGCAGGTGTAGACATAGCATTCAGTACAAGGGCAGAACAAGCACTATTAGAGTGGATCCCCGTTAACAGTCGTCTATACGCTGTTCGGCTTAACGGCTCCGTAAGAACTCGAAATGACAGGGACACACGTCGTTGCCTTTTCGTCGTTTCTGCCTACGCTCCCACTGATTGCAGTTCGGATGAAGTGAAAGATGGATTTTACAGAGAACTCTCTGAACTTCTTCAGAAAGCTAAACGTTCAGACATAGTACTCGTAGAAGGTGTCTTTAATGCTCAGGTAGGTAGCTTAAACCAAACAGAAAGACATTTAGGTGGGTATTTTAGTATTCCGGCACAGCGAACAGATATTGGTGATCGTCTGCTGCAACTGTGCTCAGACAATCGTTTATTTTTAGCAAACACAAATTTTAAGCATAAGGAGCGACATTGTGTAATATGGCGACCCCCTGCACCAAACCAACGATGGACTCAAATAGACCATATTGCCATCAGTCATCGTTGGAGAGAGTCAATTGAAGATTGTCGCTCATTCTGGAGTACCTGTTTGGACTCTGACCATGCCCTAATACGAGTACGCATCTGCTTGCGCCTCACTGGACGCAAAAAAGCCACATTAAAAAGACCCATTAGAACTGAACTGAGTAACGAGAAAACCAAACGTAGGTTCCAAGAACAACTGAGGTCATACTTAGGTAGTTCTGAAAACAAGGCTGACCCCGATGTTGCTTGGAAAGTTATACAATCAGCTGTGGAAACAGCAGTGACATCAATTAGTAATTTAAACCACAGGGTTATAAAGAACCAATGGATTTCTTCAAGGTCTATTGCACTGAAGGGTTCTCGTGAACTCATCCCATCAGGTTCTGAACACGATGAAGAGCGTAAACAAACCAGATCTAGGTTAAGCAACTTACGTCACCTATGACGCAGGCGAGATATCGGTCTATCAATTAAGGGTCGAGTATACTACGCGACAGTTCGTTCCGTTCTACTATACGGCTGCGAAACATGGCCATTAAGAGTTGAAGATACTCGTAAGCTACAAGTATTTGACCACAGATGCCTTAGAAATATTGCTAGTATCTGCTGGGATCATCGGGTAAGTAGTAGTGAGGTTAGACTCAGGGTATTAGGAGATGATGGTAAATCAGTTGATGAAGTTATGAATCTTCATCGACTGAGATGGTTGGGCCACGTGTTGCGTATGCCTGAACACCGATTACCACGACGCGCAATGCTCACTAGTGTTAGGGATAATTGGAAGAAAGTTAGGGGCGGCCAAACCAAAACGTGGTATCAGTGCTTGAAGACACTAACTTCTGGTTTGAGTCATGTTGGTAGATGCAGACTACCTGGTTGGAGTCGGCGTGACTATTGTAACCAATGGTTGGAGACTCTTGGTGACATGGCCCAGAATCGATCACAATGGCGTCGGTGCATACACTCTCTATCTTCCCTTAAACTGAGTGATTAAAATCGCTTCATGTCTTTCTTTCTACGAACTAATTCTTTCTTCCTGTACTATATCCTTATATGCAATCTTGCCTTTATATACTACACCATTGAGTTGATTGCTTCTATGAATTCGGTGTTCATCTTGTTGTGCTAATGAGGTATGGCAACTTGGACCGATGCATATATGTTCTTCGTCCTACGTTGTAGCTGACTGACTGACTGCTTCAGGATATACGAGCAATGTTTCGAAGACCCCTATGATCAAATACTAGTAGTCTACGAATATCTTCTACTCTTGCCGGCCATGTTTCACTGCCATAAATGAGGACGGAACGAACTGCTGCGCAGTAAACACGTTCTTCGGTTGATAGACGGATATCTTGCATACGCCATAAATGACGCAAGGTAGTAAAAGCTAGTCGGGCCTTCTGTATCCGTGCTGAGACTTCGTCACACACCAGACCACAAGGGCTGATGAGATTCCTAAGATAAGTGAAGCGGTCGTCACGCTCAACTACTTCACTCCCTATCATTAGTTCGGTTGTCGATGCAACCCAATCCTGAAGCAACATTTTGCATTTCGAGGGAGAGAATCGCATCCCAAACATGCTTGCATCGTTGCTTAGAGTGGTCAAAAGACTTTGCATTTTGTCAGCGTCTTCACGAAATAGAACTATGTCATCGGCATATTCTAAGTCAAACAGTGAATCTCCTGGTAGAAGTTCAACGCCTGGAAATCTAGATGAGGAAAGTGTTATCTCTAAAAACACGTAAACGACAAAGTTAAACAAGAATGAAGAGAGTGGACAGTCCTGACAACTACTCAGGTTATTCAGAACACATCTGACCAGTTCATATTGATTAATTTCCTACCATTTAATCATTTTGTGTATTTTCCCTTTGTAGGCTTATAAATATGATCCACGTCTGTATACTCGTTTAACAGATAAATCTTTGGCAGATATGATTGAAGCACTTATAGGATGTTTCTTACTACGTTCAGGACTATCTGCTGCATTTAATTTACTTCATTATTTTCAAATATGTCCAGTGAGTTGGAGCACTGTGAAAAATGATAAGCATTACAAAGTTGAAGCTCCATGGCACTTTTTTTTACAACCAAAATTATATTCAGAACTAAATTATGGAAATGATTTCAATCCTTCATCTAGATCCATACATATTTCGAAGGAAATTATACTGGAATTAAATCAGAGGTTTTTTCAGTTACAAGAAAAACTAGGATATTGTTTTAAAGAAATTGAATTACTTGCGGAAGCTATGACTCATCAGTCATCATCTAATAGACAATATTGGGGGAATTATCAAAGGTATTAATTAATATTTTCAACCGTTTTCCGTGATGAAGTTACTTTCTAAAGGCAATTTTTATTGTTGACTTAATTGTCCCAGTATTATTGTGCTTAAAAATTATTTAATTTTTCATCTATCCTGTACGATGAGTTACATAAGCTACAACTATTCCTACATAATTTAATGTATGGTTTCACATAACATGATTTGGAAAATTGTTTGAAGCATCTCATTTTCGCACTATATATGTACGATTTTTAAATTGTGTAAAATTTACATTCAAATGAACTACACAAACCTTTATTTAGACGATTATTTATGTGTTTCATTCGTTCAAATTGATTACTTAAGTTTGTGCTTAGTATCTATCAAATAATTATACGTTAGAAAAAAAGACAATAAAATAACTGGCAAACGCAAGTCTAATAAAAGAGTAGTCACTAGTTATATTGAAATTCATAAAATGAAGAATATTTGAGTAGACAATTGTTCTCAATAATTTTATTATCAGGCTCTACAGTTATAAGTCCATAATTATCGTGATATTTTATAAAGGCCAAAATAAGGCATTTATTAATTAATGTTATATATTAAAAAATGGTAAACGTTTGCATCTGTTACGATATGTATACTTCAAAATTGTGTTATTTGTAAATTAGAAAGGTCATTTAATAAAGGTCAAATGATTCAGGATAGTATCAAGTCACAATCAGTGTAATAGTATATGACAAGAAAGAAAATGGAAAAAATTGTGTGAATAAAATGCATATTGAAATTTCAAAAAACAAAATACTTGATCTTTTGAAGCTTCTGATTGCTCATTATGTGCGTGAATATTTGCTTCTCAAAGTTTCCTTTAGATATATATATACAATTCACTGAAATGTCACAAGTGTTATCGTATTGCAGATGTTTTTGTTATCGTAGGTTGTTTATCGCTTGCAGGAAAAACGAATTTACTGCATTTTAATTCAGACCGTACTTTGTAGAGAGACGGAAAATATCTGACAATAGTCTCTGAAATAATACTGTAGATCATTGCTAAATAATACTTCATACAAGTACACCATTCCTTATCATAATTTGTATTCGATATATTCGACTATTAGAATCAGTTTTTAGTTCTAAAACGATTTGTATATCAGCTTCAAACCCACTCAAAATTACTTTTGTCTGAACTAGTTTAAGGCTCAATTCTGATTCAATATCCTACGAATTACTTTGTACTAGCACAGATGAATAATCCTCAGCATACGTTAAGTGTATTTACATGTGAATATATGTCTGTTTGCTGATCTGTCTATTGTACCAATGTATTGATGTATAAACTCTATCAAAAACCGACATACTGATTGGACAATAAGTACAATCTAAATTTAATCCATTGTTTTACCATCATATATCTACTAACCTGTGCCCCTGAAACATAACATTCCCAAAACATTTCTTATTAAATGTTTTATTATCTCATTGTTAAGTGAACTTGTTACAGAGCAGGATAAGAAAATGTACAAAATTAATCAGGGGTCGAGTACGAATAAATTCAGATATGTTCACTAAATGTGATACATTTTGCTACATTTATAAGTTTAAATTTGGTAAGGAAAACAACCGTAGCAGAAAAATATAATAGATATAATTAGGGAAAGAAAATATCTATTGCTTTAGAAGTGAAACTGTAGTGTCCTTTTCTTAAACAAATTATTCATTCTCTTATATTTCTTTCGATTTCACGCAACGGTATTTTTAAATTTCACTAATTAGTTTGTCTAATATTGAACCATGTTTTTTCTTACGATCATAATTTTAATTGGGTTTTGATGAATTTTCGTTTTCGTTATTTTATATCGTTTAGACTTTATGCTTATTATTATTTTTTATTATTACTACTCTTCACATGACATACTATCGTCAAATGGTTATCATTTTTTTTAAATTTATCGCATCAAAGGTTAGAATTTCTTGGCGATTCCATTTTGGGCCATATTATCAGCAACTATCTGTTTCAAAAATGTCCTCATTCATCCCCAGGTTAGCCTATTTTAAACTATTTATTTTCACTTCAGCTGTAACTGTGACGAAAAGTTTCAAAAATATTTCCAATACATAACTTGATGTGTAAAACTATTCCAGAGAAATGAGAGTTTAGATTCGTCATAGATTTACTAATAAAGCCGTTCCTTAGAATCGTACACGGCAATTGATATAATGGTCAAAGATTAAGCCTAATTGTCAGGTCTTGTTTTATTGAAGTGTAAGTGATCTACACTTAAAAAATTAATTCCTTATGCTGTCCTATGATATCTATTCATGTTTATTTTTCTGTTATTAATTTGTATATAAGCGTGTTGTTTTATTAGTGAGAAGGTTTATTCTTCTGGCTCGTGGTCTTGTCTTTGATATCAGCTCATTTGGGTGTTTGGGTCAGTAACCCGGCCTCATAAGCAGCTATCACTTAGCCATATTTTATCATAGGATATCATGTATCATTCGGGATTCTATTCATACATTTTAATAATCCAAAACGGGAAATCGAAGAGAAGTGCATACTAATTGATAATGGTCTTCGGAAGAATGCCTATCCTCTGACGTATGTAAAAAATATATTACTAACTACCGTACTAGGATGGGAATTAACGAACCTAAAAAAATATTTTTATCTGATCGAAATTCAAAGGTAATCAAATTTGAAACTAACACTCGAAGCATTTATCAAAGCTCTGTTAAAACTTTAATTATTCATTTACATTACAAACAAGTTATTTTTTATTGATGGATGATTAGTTTCAAGTGATATCAGTAATTCGAAACAAATAACTGATTAACTTTCATTTAACTCAAAAGAAGCGTTAACGAAATACATTTAATTCATTGTGTTCTGCAAATAATATCGTTCTCAATTTAGTTAAAAATTTAAAGTTCGGTCACTATATGACTGAAACTCCTCCATAACAGCTATCTACTTTCGGTACTCCGTGATATGTTTGATTCCAAATGTGATATCATTGTACATAGTCACAGTTGATTGTATGTAAGCATTTTTAAATACACATTATCTATTGGTTTAAAATCAATGTGATATCATTTTAACCTGTCAAGTTTTAGTAGTTTTTTAATTCATTAATGTTAAGTATTCGTTTTATACTATTTGGTATCAATTAAATGTTATCCAGAAATTACTTTTTATTAGGAAAATAAAAATAATTGTATCACTGTGTTGCTCTTGAAGAATCAGTGTATTGAAGAAAATATCGTTTTTGTTATCGTTAGTTGTCCATTGTAAATATCATTGTCAAGAGCTACGCTATTAGTTATCAAAAAGTGACAGAATTCTGCTCAGTGAACTGGCTAGATCAACGTTAGGTGGTTGAAAATAGTCAAACAGAAAACCTTGGATATTATTATCTAGTCACATAGAATAGTCGCCATATAGCAACTTGATCGTTAGAAATCCATTGGCCTAATGAATAGACAGAAGTAACACCATTAACTACTCAGGGATCAATCATCATAACTGACTGGGTTGTTTGAAAAGCAGGTCTCCAACATCCTGGAATGTAGCCGTCCTTTTTTTTCATTTTTAAAGGGCCTACATAATCCATACAATGGTCATCTGAGGTTGTCCATTTTCGATTAAATCCAAATTACTGACTTCCGTAATACTACGTAGGCCGTTAAAAACTAACTGAAGGGCAGACTGGTTTTCATTCAGTTTTTAGATATATTGAGCATATCTTCACCTTCCACCAACTATTAGAATACCGTCATACTTATTGCAGACCAACAATTGTACTGTTTCTTTGATATCAGAACTGCCTTCGATTCATTGGATAGAGATGTGCTCTGGAATTGTCTGTTGGAGAAGAATGTACTCGAGAAATTTATTAACATCTTGAAAGCTCTGTATGCAAACACCTCAGTCAGAATGAGGACATACAACCACCTCATCATTTTCCCATTCAAGCATCGAGGTTAGGCAGCTTTGCCCAGTTTCATTATTCATGTTCAACTTTCTCAATGACTACATTCTGGAAAGAGCTGTGATGTAGGTAATTGTGGTGTAGACAAAAAACTCTTTGATCTTGAGTATGTCAAAACTTTACTACTCTAGTCCATCTTTGAACCTATCGTAATGTTAATATATGTATAAAAGGTAGGTTTTACATTGTCTGGTCCCTGTTAACCAAGGATGTTTGGGGATTCTTTGTGTTTGATCGTCATTGCATCCGAAGGAACATTCATATCTAGCGACAAAATTATTTTAGTGATGTCGAGGTTCGGCAATGTGTGTTCGGGCGAATTGACGACAATTCAATTGTTAATTATGATTTATTTGTTACTCCTCGTTATTGATTGTCATTCGAAACATGGCTTTGATTTATTTCGATAAATTATTAAAGTTGTTGAAAATTATTTTTAGTCAAATAATGTGTAGTTTTTCTGCTTGTACAACTGGAAAAGCGAAAAATGAACTTCATCGTTGAACCATCTAGTTGCATTTGAATATAAATCATAATGAATTTTCTAACATTATTGTTATATTAATAGAAATCAACAATAATTATGTATGTTCTCTTCTAGGTGCATTGACTACTGCACGATCTACTGTTGTCAGTAATATTAATTTAGCTAATGTTGTTGTTGAGCATGAAATCCACCCGTTCATCGATTTTGGGAATTGCAGTCAGAAAGCATGCATTGATGATATAAAAAGTATCCATCGTCAAACCGATTCACATTTTGAACGTATTGAGGTAGACTACTACACTTCTTTTATAGTTTAATACTTTTTGCTTAATTAAGTCAATAAGGTTTATTGGGTTTATTTTATAAAAAATTTTGTAGATGGTTTAAATGTGGCTCAGTATTCTTGGTACATTCTATTGTGGGATCATTTCTTTATTTCCTATATTAATTGAGTTAGTACAGTCAATGGATGCTAATTACCTATTTTTAGAAATCAGTAAATAAACTTCGATAATATGAGAAGAAGCTTATCAGAACTATGTAATAAATTAGCGCAATACATTTCCAATAATCTGACCACACATATACTTGTTAAGAACATTTATATATAGAAATAAAAGGTCAACTAGACTGAAAATGCGGGGTAAGAAAAGACAAGGATAATAAATAAGAGTAATAATAATAATAATGTGAACACAATTCGAAACCTAATCACTCTGGATATTACCAGGGTAATATTGGCTTCGTATTATTACATTATCGAAATTCATCAAAGGGAGTAATTTCTTTAAGTAAATAAATTGTTTTATTAAAAATGGTCAATATTAAAGTAATTGTGTCCAGGGTTCGATACTAGAAATTTGTTTCGTTGTGAAAGTAGCTTTCATAACGGAAAGCCACCAGCAGAGGAACCGTTTAGATCCAGGGAGCACTGGATATTAGTTTTAGTCTAGGTTAGAACTTTGCAGAAATATGGGACTGGGGATTCTTGTTTGATCTCAAACTGTGACATGTCATTGTAAACAGTTGAATTAATACTACGACTAGTTGTGGTTGGCTATTCGATTATCCCGTTGTTGATATTTTGACTGAAATTTGGTCAGTTTTGGTTGGTGAATCCTGTGCGAATCCAAAATACAACGAAACTCGTTCTAGAATGCACTGCAAGTCACATTCCATCTATTATATACTAACTTGTGATAAATAATGTTTGTATTCCACATCTAATTTGTTTTTCCTTATTAGCTTCATAATAGTGACATGACTAAGAACACTGATATCAACAATATGAATGCATTCCTTTTTTGCATTTCTACAAGTGTCAGGCTCAATATTACTTCCTGATTACATTCATATTTTTTCCTCTTTTTTATTTCCAATAGCTATTAATCTTTTGATCTTTGTTTCCTTAATTGTCTGTTTTTATTGATTTTTGTTAAACTTTTATCCTCATAAAATGGATTTACTCTTGATATATTACTTTAACTATTTTGATTTTTTTTGATCACCGTAAATGTCTCCCATTCTCGCACCAAGTTTTAAATAAAAGTTACATTTAGCTATTTGACTACCATGTTTTGAACCATTAAATGAATGATATGTATTTACTGAAACCTGTGAATTAAGGTTTATGCGTGCATCGATTAGGTCTATTTTGATTTAGTTTTTTGACTTAATAGATGTGCTATTTTGAAAGTTCATATTCGCTCTATAACTATTTATTCAGATACTATGAACGTGTTTATATTGCACAATTTTAGTTAATTACAAAGAAGGTTTCTTCGGGGCTCAATATCAAGGTATTGGCTGATGTGTTTGAATCGATTCTCGGTGCAATTTTTGTAGACAGTAATGGTAATCATCAAGTCGTGTCTTCTATTATTCATCGATTCTTGGGTAAAACGATGAGTACGTTTTTCCTTATTAAAAATTCACGACTTTATTGGGTATCTTCGAAATACTACTGATTTTTGAACCCTTTCTTGTTACTCTCCTACCTTTGTATTCACCTATAAATGCATGTGTATGTGTGTTAGTTATTTTAACTAACTTCATGTAGAAGAATTGTAGTGAAATTTATTTCCAGATTGTCGACACTCTTCAAGATTCACATGCAAACTTGAAGAAATAGATTGTGTTTCATAGTTGTATGAGTAAATTACCAATTCGACATACCTCAGTGTTATTCATTATTGTTCAAAAAATTCTGAAGCTTCAAATTCAGTCAACATTTTTCTAAAAATAGCACATTCATACTTACCTACCCTTCCTTACTAGTGGAGTACCAAACCGATTACGACCACAGTTATCTGAAGAAGCCTCCAGGACATCAGTTTCACTGGTTATGATGAAACATATCATAATAATAGACGTATGTCATTGTGGTGTACACTACTAATGTCAACAGAGATACGTAGAAGGCTAAATTTGAGATGAAGAGGATAGAAGGGAAAATAGAAAGGAATTGTAAACTGGAAGAAACATGCAGAATATGAAGGAAAAATGATGGAAATTTGCAAACGAAGTATTCAGTGCATGGTTCTTATATTTTACCAAGATACTCTGCAATTTTGTATTAAAAAAACAATCTGTTCTCACCTATGTTCTCGTTCAGTACAACATCACATTCCTACATTCCGTTTAAATCCAGTTTCCTGAACAGAAATGAGCTGAATGGTATGAAAATCAACTCGCGTGGTCTATTCGAAAACGTCAAGTATTACAAAATCTCACCCAAGCTTTCCTGACGTTAGTGACTCACTAAGCCTCAGAGAAGAGGCTATACTAGTCGACTGAATCCTCATTGCCAGTCAATTACATGGTGCGATGTAAGAATGCTACGTCAAAGTGGGATTTATAAAACTGTTTTTCACTCACCCCCGTCTATGCCCGAACCGATTTCAGTCCATATGCAATCAAGGATGAGTTTAGCACCAATTAAATGGTCTAAAAAACCCGTTTTGTAAACATTGTAATGATAAATGGATATTACAATGTGCAAATTGGGTTTCTATGTACTTATGAGTCATTTGGGTGTCTAAACAGGACTTTTTGGTTCTAGGTCAGATAACGGTGACCGCCCCCTGAAATCTGAGTAGATCACAGTCTACTTTCGACCAGAACCAACTTTTGGCATATTCATCGCCAATGTGCTACCTGGTATCCTGCTCTTGCATCTGAAGCCTGAACCCACATTGACCACATCGCGATTAGCTGCTAATGGCGTGGTTGTGTACAAGACTTCTACTCCCCGTGGAATATTTCTCTGGACTCTAATCATGGTCTTGTTTGAGCTAACTTTATCTTACGTTTCAGTGGCCGGAAACTTTATCGCCATAAATGGATCGATGTTAACAAATTAGCTACACTTTTTCTTGTAACTAAACATCAAGCCAAACTAGGTTCAAGACTATCAACTCACTAAAAAGTGTAGATGAGCATTGGCTGCAATTGCATAACACCATAAAAGTTGCAAGTAAAGTCGCTTGCGGTTTTGCGAAACGTCCCACTTAGAATGGCTTGGTTTTCACAGGCTCCGTACAACTCATTAAAGCACGTCAGTCCTTTCCGGCCAACCACAAGTTTGACCATAAACGGAGATTGTTGCGTAATGAAATTGTGCAAAGTTTGCGTAAGGACCGAGAAGCCTGGTAGTTAAAGAGTGCTAACGAGTTGGAAGCAGCAGCTTCATCTGACAAATGCCGGATGTTTCTCAACTCATTCAAGTCACTGGCAGTAGGATGTCTGGTGTGGGTGGAACCTGTTGTAACATCAGTTAACAACATTTGTTTACATCTTGGATGATAGGCAGTGCTCTTCGACAAACGATTCGACTGGTCTGCTGTCTCGGTGGCATCGATCGAACTGTTCCGTCCTTCATGACCGGTGAAGAACGGTTCATCTAACGAGGAGGAAGTCTGCGAGAAACTCTAGCCCCTGAAGCCACAAAAATCACCAGGCCCAAACGATTTGCTTCCAGGCCTTTTTATAGTTGGTGAAGAACTTCCGGTTCGAGACCTGACTGGATTGTTTGAAAATATTTGATCGACAGTGTTGCAGCATGACAGGATGAAGTGGTAGCTATCTGTATTCTTGAAAAGGTTGTTGGTCATCTATGCAACAACTATTGGAGTAAGTCTACTTCCGATTGTATCGAGACAATTGGCTTCCGTCGTACATCTTAGATTGTTCAAATCCGAGTAAAGATTGACTCGTGAGAAGCAGAATAGTTTTCGTTCTTTAACTGGGAAGATTCTGGTTGTATTTTTTGTTTCAGTATTGATAATTACAATGATTATTATTTGTACTAATATTATTATTACTATTATTATTATATCACCATCATACAGTAATTTCTATTCGTTTCTGTTCTTACTTTTATTATAGTCACTTTTCTTTCTTCATCTCTTCATAACCTCATTTTTATTGTGTCACATATATATTTGATACCCATTTGTGCCAATGTTTATGTGTTCAAATAAACATATTCCGGACCATATTATAAGCAGATGAGGTTGTATCTCCATAAATATAACATGTGACTTTTTGTCAGTTGACGTTTCTAGGTTTGTTTGTGTGAAGTAATTTTATGTCTACTCACAATAGATGTATTGGTTAATGTAGTTTTCATCTACTTATTGTTGATGTGATAATACTTAGGGCTTTAAATCGCGGTATATTAGGAAATTCGATTCAAATTCGCTAGACTCCATCTTTAAGTGGCTGTATGGACAACTGTTTAATTGATTTTTGGTTTCACTTTTCTGTTATGAAGATATTCATTATTGTGAAATTCACTTTGTATTTTAACTGTTTGATCATATATTAGAAAAAATTTAATGTTTTTATCTTCTGGGTTTTTTTTCAGATTCTCTCATTACTAATTTACCTGTTCAACCATTGAATTTACCATATCCTGAAATACAATATAAGTAGGTCACAGATGTGTTCTATTTTCTCCAATGCCATTAAAAGACTGGTTCTTTAAAATATTTGAAAAAAATTTTCTCATGGTTACTTACACCTGTTACCCGTCGTGGAGCATTGTTCGTCGACAATGGCTCCAAATAAATTTCTCCTGGGCTCTTCATTTACGGTTAGCGTTTTTCTTTTGATACCTGCCTTCGACTCCCGGAGCAAGGTGTGCTTTGGTCTGCCCCTTGTCGTTTTACCTAAAGGAATTAAAGTTGGGACTTTCTCTGTGGTACCGTTTGATGATTTCGTAGCGTGTGTCCTACCCAACTACAGCGTCTTTTCCTGATTCCAATTAAAGCTGGGATCTGATATGTCCCCAGCCACATTCGGTTGTTGCCGATTTTATCCATCCAACGAATTTAGAGTTTCTTGTGTAAACAACTGTCCATTTCCGATTCAACACAACATGCACGAGTCCAATCAAAATTAACGGAGAATATTTGAAAGATGTAAAAACCTTTACATATTTGGGCAGCATCATTGATGAACACGGTGGATCTGATGCAGATGTGAAGGCGCTGATCGGCAAAGCAAAAGCAGCATATTTGCAACTGAAGCACATCTGTAACTCAAAACAATTAGCAACCAACATCAATGTCGAAATTTTCAATACAAATATCAAGACAGTTCTACTGTATGAGGCGGAAATCTGGAGAACTACGAAAGCTATCCAGAAGATACAATTGTTTACCAACAGTTGTCTACGCAAAATACTTTGGACCCGTTGGCCGGACACTATTAGCAACAACCTACTATGGGAGAGAACAAACCAGATCCCATCGGAGGACGAAATCAAGAAGAATCGCTGGAAGTGGATAGGACACACATTGAGGAAAGCGTCAAACTGCGTCACAAGGCAAACCCTCACATGAACTCCTCAGGGCCAAAGGAAAAGAAGAAGACCAACGAACACATTACGTCGAGAAATGGAGACAGACATGAGAAAAATGAACAGAACTGGAAAGGAATCCCCAGGACATAGTGGGTCGGAGAGTGCTGTCGGCGGCTCATACTAGATTGGGAATAACAGGCATAATACGTAAAGTAAAAGTACACTTTCAATTATTCATAGACCTGGTGTAATTTTTTTAGTACTCAAGGAAAGACGATTCTAAAATTCTGTATTGCATTCTTGTATTTTACCAATTTATAAATCACTATGTGAAACACCAAATCATTTACATTTTATTACGAAAACTTAAAGCAGTCATCGAAAATAAAAATCACTTAGGGAATAAACGAAGTTCTTTACATAGATAGTTGATCAATCAGTGATTGACAAAACTTGAAATGTGGGACAAGTTTGCTACAATCCAAGCACAATGACGAAACTGTTACCAAGTAAAATCTAGAAGTAGAAGCAAAAAATCAATGATATTACAAAACATGGAAAGTACGGTGAAATTTAAGAGTGGAAAATACATGGAATTATCAAAACTAAAAATTTAAGCGAAGGATGCAGACTTCTGTCTTAATGAAACTGATCATAGCCACATGGTATGTAAACATTGTTCGTGATAAAACTGAACCTCGTAGCACGAATCAGTTCGACAGTATATAACTACAGAAATATATTTTTGTCAAATCATCATTGATCTTCTTCCAACCTACTCATATGATGGCTACTATTCGGCAACTAAGTAAACACCTCCTTATGAGCGGAGTTAAGGTTTGTATCTTGAAAAACCTGTAAATGATATTAAATATACACTGAAGTTATAACCAATGAGTAATTTGTAACAGGCGTAAGTAAGTGAGTAAGTAAACAGCTGTCCATTAATATCTGTACTGTCATGCTGACGTAAGTATCATTACTAAGGTTTGATTTGATAATTTCGAATAAATTGAGCGTTGGGTTGATTGGTATTAATAAATAATATATTTGTAATATCCCAATGAGTAGAAAATTAGATTTTCTGACATTCCGTGACTTAGTGTAAGTCTATTCTTCAGAGAATAAATAAATAAAAACGTCGGAAAATCTAATTTTCTACTCATTGGGATATTACAAATATATTATTTGTCATGCTGATGGTTGTAGTATTTCTCCAATTTTCTGGTCCATGCAATGAAATGTTTTTAAAGTTGGTTTTGGGAATTCAAACTTTGATGTTGTCAGACAGTTTGATCTATTCATTGTATTCTATGCTGCCCCTAAACTGCAGAGGTTTTCATATTCCTCTTAGCCATCAGAAGAAAGAGAAAGGGCGAGAGTATGTAGCCTTGTCTGACATCGGTCTTCACTTGGAATGTTTCTGTCAGCTGCACTCCACGCACGACTATGCAACGTAGTCCGTTGTATGAATTTCGTGTGGTGTTGACTATCTTGTAAGGTGTGGAAGGAGGCTCCAAGATCTCTTCGATCCATGTTGGAAGTTGACGTATCATAACAGGTCCCATTCCATTGAATAACCTTGTATCGTTGTTTGAATCTTCTCACTAACATTTAGAACTGCAATCGATAAGTCTCCTATTTACATATGCGCGTCCTGTGCGAATTTCCTAGATATTGCCTTAAAATAGGAAGATTATTAACAGAGACGGATGATGGCTAGTAGTAGAATTCAGAGCGTATGTTTCGTCCTCTCTGGGACTCGTCGACTGAACGTACATGGATCACATAGTCGATGTTCACTCCGGGACTCAAACCTAGTGCTGTTCTTATCGAACTCCATTTTCCTTATCCACTTAGCTACTAAGTCCGGATAGCTTCTGGAATGCGATGAAGTTTAATTCGTCTTGCATTAGCTATTTAAATCTCAAATAGAACGAAACGTGCGTCCTGTAATCTACTGCTAACCACCATTCGCCTCTGCTTATAGTTCTCACACTTGCTCAGATCCACTTTTTGTGGTATCCTGATGAGGTGTCCCTCTTTCCAGTCTATCAGCACTTGTTCCCAAATCTTTCTGAATGGGATGTAGAGCATCTTCGCAGTTACCTCTACGTCTGACTTCAGTGCTTCATCTTTTACGTCTTCCGGTTTTACTGATCTCCCACTTGATTTCTTCGATTTTCGATGGAGTGACAAGTATAAGGAGGTCTGTGTGTGCTGTTTCGATGTCTGGTGGTTTCAGTAGGGTTAGTCTATTTTAGAACTCTTCAAAATCCTATATGCTCCTGTTCCTCTGTTCTTGAATCTCAGTGATTGGCTTTCCTTTTTGTTCTTGACTGTTTTTTCTTGGCTTACTTTATTTCCCTGCTGCTTTCTTCGTTTGGTCATACAGTTCGTGTCTACTTTTTTGCAGCTCGTTCTACTATAGTCTCCAGTTCTTATACCCATTCCCACTTGTCAACTCGCATGCTCTTTCCTTATTGTTCGTTTGCTTCTGTATGATCAGCATATGTCTTGACCTTTTCTGCTCTTGGTTTGCTGTTGTTGATTGCCGTCTTGTTCTCCCTTGCTTGGATCCTCCCTTGGGTTCCAATAAAGATCCACTCTTTATGCTGATGTTTCTTACTGCTAGGCACCTCCTGTCATTTTGAAGTTATTGCTTTTTATCCCTTTCCAGATATTTTCCATAGTGGTTTCCTTTTCTGTGAGTAGATTTTGTTAAACTTGGAACATGTTGCTGGGAGCTATATTGAATTTGTCGAGTTTGTCAGTATTTCGAAGAAAAGGACGTATTAAACCTATCTAGTGATGATCGTTCAGCCATTCAGTTCTTTAGCTTTAGTTTCATTTTGGCCACCATTAGGTGATGATTTGAAGCTATATATTCTCCTCTTGTCGTTCTCACATCCTCTGCAGTGCAAATGTGATCGATCTGGTTTTCAGTGTGACTCTGTGAAGCACATTTAACTTTGTGTTTTCACATAAATCTTCAGACCTCTCACCATTCTTGTTCCTTTCTCCCAGTATATGTCGTCTTAAGATATCTTCATACCTGATGTTTTCTATTACAACTTAAACTTCCAGGTCTCTCATCATCATGGTCACGTCCTTTTCTGAGCACTTCTCTATGATTGACTGCAGCCGTCCGTAAAATTGACCGTTTTCGTCTCTATTGCTATCATTGATAACATTCTTGGTAATCTTTTCCGTTTTTGTTTTGGAGGCCGTTCTGATGATTGCTGGATTTATGAGATTCCCATCCTATAAGTGCTTATCATGCTTTGGACAGCATCAAGTCAACTCCCTGAGTGTGCGAAGCATTTTGTTCTTCATGATCGGAGTACAGTAGCATCTCTCTCGAATCCTATTTTTTCTGTTCAGCCTGCGTTCAATGGGTTTGACCTATTCCCAGCACCTCCAGGTTGTATCTCTTCACTTTCACAGCTATTTGACTGACGCTTCCGGTCTCCTGTATTGTGCGAACATTCCATGTGCAGACTATTAGTTGTTGTTAGAAGGGACATCGGCCTTCTGACGTCTAAGGAGTCTCGGCTTACACAATGACGTCATAGCTGTCGTTCCGATGATGTTTTGTGGTTATTTTTTCAGCAACGTTGTTTTCTATGGGATGTTGCTAATCCTATGCTTAATCCTCTTTTTAGAGAGCAAGAACAAAGATTAGTGCTCTCTTTAATATAATTAAGTAAACTATGTGTATGAAATAATCCTCCTTTATCTGGGCTCTGTAATGACAGTAACACTGGAAGGCTCTAAGCGAAGTTAAACTTCCATATAGATGGTTGGTATAACCGTTTCACACCTACCGAACCAAACAATCAGGAACGCCATAACTCGATTACTAACTGGTACTGGGCGATCATGCAGGAAGATTGTAATTATATTGGATTCGAGAATCGCGTGATAAATTATTTTTCTATAACAGTATACATTTAAAACACACAAGGAACGAAGTTTTTATTTTTTGCGTCTTATTGAACCAAGCAAAATCATCAAAAATTCGATCACTCAACAAAACAGCTGATATAATATAGTGTCAGGTAAATCCAAACTAAGCACATTCAGAAAATGACGGAGTAGAATCAAAGAAATGATTAAGACTCAAAACTCAGATAAAATAACAATCTCTTAATGAATCAAGAGTTGAACTCCATTCTCATTATTATGGAGGGTTGGGGAGGATAACAAAATATACTCATACGGAACGATTATCTCACACATGCAAACGTATCTATCTACATAACATACAAAAAGGATTTTACCACGGTTCTTTTGATTTTTTGTTTTACTTGGTGTATTCTAAACTATCACGTACTTCTGGTTTACTTCAATGCACGTGTTCGTCGTGCATGATATAAAGAATTTTTAGAGTTCTTTCTTAACATACATCAGGTTTAATGAGTTTTATACCGGTTTTCTTATGTTTCCAACTTTAGTAGACCACATATCTTATTATTACGCGGTTTACATTAGTATGTTACTGGGGTTTCGAACTATGATTTCCAGGTATTAACTGGATTCGGTTTGTTGAATGAGTTCATCCAAATACTTTCTTAACAATTTTAATTTGTCTAGGCGTGTTCTAAACCATAAGGTCACAAAATAATCGAGTGGTGGAATTTCATTCACAGCTTCTATTGATTTATATATATATATATATATATATATATATATATATATATATATATATATATATATATATATATATATATATATATATATATATATATATATTGAAGTGCATGAAGTCGGTATCTGCTTTCAACGGATCTATTTATCGTAGCTGCTGGTTTGACATAGTGATCAGGCTTCCAAATAGTTCTGACTCAATTGAACTTTATTGACTAAAACAGCTATTCTTGTAGGACCTACCATGCCAAGCTGATTGGTTTGAGAACGGTGGATGGATTTATACTGATAGCTTTCAAAATAAACTCATCGATGGGCTAGAATTGATTACATCACTATCAATCGTCTTTAGAGAAGCCTGATGTAACTCTGATGCTTTAGTGTGAGCTCACGTTTGTCTGCGTCTCAACGAAAGCTCCAAAGAAAATGGTTAAACTTTTCAAAGTCCAGGTTAACGATAAAATAATCAAGATTATGTTTTTTAATGAACGATTAATTTGGCAATCAATCATCAGAGTGATTTTCATTCCGGCTTAGTTTGGTTTGATATTCAAATGGCTGTGAAAACAGCATTCAAGTAAATTTCTATGTCATCTATTGCATTAGTCTACGCTCGAAAACTCATCCCACAAGTCTACTCAGCAAACATGAACCGTGTAAGCCAGCCAAACGAAAAAAATTCAAAACTGACGAAGTCAATATGCAGCAGGAATCAAATTAACAAATGTTCCCCAATTTCGTACTGTAGAAACGTGATCAGTCTAGATGCTTGCCATGTGGTTTACCTTTTCGCGCTCATGTAATGTTCGATGATCCATTGAGCGATTGCTGTTTTGCTCGAGAGTAGTGCAATTTCGGTCATATGTTACTTGATATGAAGCTAATTATATGTGTTTAATAGGAATTCGGAGTCGTTTTTGTGTTGATATTGTTAAAATGCTGTGACAAATAATCAGACCAATTTGAAGGACGTCAATCAACAAGTAATCCTTCACTCTCACTTGCTTTTTCACCTTTGGCTATATTTGCGTCTGACTGGTATTCTCTATTTGATTCTTGATTGCAACTCCAAAATTTCACTTCTACAAACAAAATAATTTCGATTTCTAGTTTCTTCCATCATATTGTACTTGGTGTTACCTGTTCATGTGTAACTTAAAGAATAACGCGAATTTTAAAATATTTATTCGCGGTCTTATGCTTAGCAGTTGATTCATAGTTTTAATCAAGTCGATTGATTTATTTGATAATTTATTTGTCTTGTTTAAAATTTTCATAATTTTCACAGCACCTCAACTACCATGTCACAAAAGTTACATGAAGATGTTCATAATTCGGTTTTATCGATTAAAGGTAAGCGCCTATGTGTGACGGAAAATACGGAGGATTGTTCTCGTTTCTGACTTGTTAAAGAAATTTGATGCATAGGACAACAAATTAAACAATATTTTTGTTGAGATCTATTATTTCCCGAGCATTTTATTTTTTCTACAAGCTTGCTTTGAGTACTCTATTTTGTATTTTTAAATGCTTTTCTGTTTTCTTATTCACAATAGTTCTAAATAGAAGTATGCATAATCTTTTTAAATGTTAAATAAAGCGAATTGTTCCTAACTGGTAAAATGACTTCTCAGTTTAATTCGCTTTTTGCAAAACTATGCTTCCTCAGAATGACATTTTTAGTGTTAAGGTTTGTCGACAGCATATTTATTACAGAGATGTCGTTAGGTTACATTAAATTTCACCACTCTTTAGTAATGAATGCGCTGTCTATTTTGTATACGGTGCGCTGTGGGCTGTTTCACTATGACAGTCATTACGCTATGGTGTTCAGATAACAAGTGCATGCATACAACTCAGCAATGTAGTAAGAAAGCCTTAATATATATAGGCTGGAGACATCTACAACCTAGGTTGGTTCATTTAAATATTTCCCTATAGATATACAGGTGACTGTATATAAGCAACGTCTCCTTCCACAATTTATAAGATAGTGAGTTTGGGATATATCTAACTTAAGATAGGTGACTGGTGACTCAAGGTACGTGATTATAGAAATCGATTCCAGGGTTGGGCTTGGTGGTTCCAAGCGAATTGAGCATTGTGTGGAAGGTTGATAGTAATCATATTTTCGTTATACCCCAAAGGGAAGCTGCATTCCTTACGTTTCGTGGCCTATTGTAAACTTCAAAGTGGGTGCTCTCTGAATGGTTCTGGAATAGTTAGCTTACGTTTCACTAAATTATTAGGCAAATTTAGTGAACTGATCATAGGCTGCCAGAAAGTGACATTACTTGCATCAGGCAGGATATTCTATGGTGTATGAACACATGAAATGGGTGGAAGTGTTGATGGATTAAATCCTTTTATGAGACACGGATATGTCATCATGTCATGTATATTTGCACTGCAGCCTGAGAGCAGTCTAAGGATTATTCTGTAGGCCATAAAGTCTTAAAAAGGTAGTTCACACTGGAGAAGGATGTATTCGTCTGTTGCTCACTATCAGCAAGGGGGCATAAAGGCATAATGAATATTTCTGGCTTCACAACACTATTCTCCGTAAAACTTTTATCATTGAAAGATACTTGTTCAATCACAACAGAAGCCTGGAATGAAGACTTCTAAAAATATATTTAAAAAGTGTTTGATCCAAGCTGACTAGTTGCTGTTAGTTTAATAACCGCTCAGCAATTTAAGAGACATCTCTTTTGATGACTCATCAATTCATGTTAATTGTGAAACTGAATAACTATTTAAATCAGTTTCTAAGCTTGTTTTGTACATGAAAAAGGGTTTCTTGTCTCTTTTCGACTACAGATATTTATGATGAGTGTTTGCAAACTACTGGTCAGTAACATTGAAAATTTAACGTGACTGCGGACTTGGCAAAGTTAACGCTACAGCTGGATGCTAACAAGTCAGCGTGTTTTGAACGGTATAATTATTGCTTATCTATTGTTATTTTGTCCAACTAGATAGATTTTTTTTGGCGGGAAGTGCTTTTGAGTTAATGGGCTAACGTGGTTACTAACCTTCTTCTAAAATATTTCATACGATTCTCATGCTGTAGGTGTTTACTTTAGAAACAGTTGCTAATATCTGCGCAAACTGATAATCGTTTTTCAAATATCCGTATCACATAAATAAGTCAAGTAAAGGGGCGAACAACAATTTTTTTGGTATCCGGTAACAAGTATTGATGGCTCGGTTTGAAAGTCTGTATGTCGCGGGTATTTTATTCGTTTTTAGCTTTTGTACTTACATGGGATGTCCTTTAAGTTATCCTGATTCGGTGGGAAAAAACAGATGCTATGGTGAACATATTAGTTTCTAACTTTCTTTCTGTCTTAAAGCTTATAGTTTCCTGAACACATTAGCTGTGACCCCGCGACAGTTTGTCGTGGACTTATTTATTATTATTTATTTTAACACATAAGTATAGGTACAGGGAGGCACCAAATACATATGCGCCACACAAATCTCAATTGATTTGTGTGAGGGCTGTGATACTGCCCGGGTGCCCAAACCGAAGCAAAATGCATATAAGGATATGATTCATGAAGAATTAGTTCATTGGAGGAAAGTTATGGAGTAATGTTAATCTCGCGGTTTAAGGGAAGACAAAGAGTGTATAAATCTACGCCATTGTGATCGATTTTGAGTCATGTCATTCCGAGTCTTTAACCATTGGTTACGTTAGTCGCTCTGACGTCAACCAAGTCGTCTGAATCTACCAACATGGCTCAAACCAAAAGTTAGTGACTTTACGGGCTGAACTAGACGCACGTAAGACAAGCTTTTTGAAGCGACAGATGGAGAGCGAATTTGTAGTACTTCACCAGAGTCTTGAATACGGGTCTCGGATAGACAACAAACGTCGATATTAAGACTTTCCAAAGACATAGCCAGTCCTATCCGTTGTCCGACCTGCATAAGTGTGAGAACGTTGAAGGCAGCCAGTTTGAATGGTGCACATGGTTTCAGAAAGACTGCTTCAGTACTCTTATTCGATGGTAACATACAATTTTCAACCAGGCAGTGACTCAAGAACGTTTAGATAGAGCCGAATTTTCACCATAGGCGAGCTGCTGTATAAGTCGAAAAATAAGGATAGACAGTGGGAATAAAAGAGATTGAACAAGTGACGTTGTAAATAATAATAATGATGTGAATTGTTTGACAGTAAACAAAGCGAGAATAGAGTTTTCAGTGAATATCGTCATTTTCATTAAATTTGTGTGTGGGCTGTGACACTGCCCGGGTGCCCAAACCGAAGCAGGTGGTTTTCTTAGGAGGCCACACCGCGAGCCTTCGACATAAAGGTCTGATCCACAAGGCAGTGGAGCATCGTAAGGAGATGCAGTCTGATGGTAGCCGGTGACTAACAATTGGTCCATACGCCATGTGTTCATTCCGGATACTGGTGCCCATGTGCACCAATGGTTTAGAATCCGGGTAAAGTGCCGGACATTCGCTTTTTGTCCTCTCATTTTCGTACTCAACACCCACGCCACGAGAAGGCAGAGGCTATATACGCGTGGCCATGTGAGAGAATTTCGAGAGGTAGAGCGGACTCTCCCCACTCTCGGCCATACCAGGGCATTTGGGGGACCATGCATCTGGGCCTCCTATTATTTCTCTCCAGATTTTTACATGGTCAGCGTAAAGTAGCATCGGGAATTCAACTGTATTTGAGTTCATTTACGTGCAGTATATAAGGCAAAGGATCTTTGGTAGGACATTATGGTACTTCACCAAGTATTGGTTCCCAGGAGAAATATTCGGAATTTGTTCTTTCTTTCCGTCCGACTTTGGTTCTTTTTTGGAGGATTCAACTTGTGGAAAGTGACTGGCCTCTCTGCAAGAACCGTTTTGACCAGCTTCGAGGTTTTGTTTACCAAACTCTTCGTATTCCCCAGTTTTCTAGATCCTACCATAAGCTGACTTTATTTTAATTTTTAATCAAATCTCCAAATTCCAGGCTTTGCTCTTGCTTACTCTGTATTGTGTTTATATGGAGATCTGCAACCGTTAACTCATGTATTTTAGAGCTCTCTGTAGTTTGCGTAAAAATAACCTTCCTAGTTTGATATATGCATTGTAACCTTGAAGACGCCCTATCGATCGTAATTTGCTTGTATTCGTGTTGAACATAACCGTTCCATCAACCCTTCTGGATTAGTATTGTTACACTTCCTTTTTTCTTATCATGTTAATTTCTTTTCATTGTGCTAATGTAAAATATGGCAAAATAGGACGATGCAAATTTTAGTAAATTGTGCGGTTCAACTGGTACAAACGAGGTTAGCGATAAGACCTATTGAGGCAGTTATTATTTTAGAGTATTATGTACATCTAATTTTTTACGTATTTAAACACAAAGTCGGTACTAATAGGCATTAAAGCAAATATGCGCTAAACAATAAGAATGTGTAATGCCTACGATATAGAGAAAGGGGTATGAATATAGTAAAATCATACCGTGGTACTATATCAGAAACTGACCATCAGTTTTTCCACCCAGTCCTAGGCTCAACAAATTAAATGCTATGAGGAAGTTTCTCGGACAACATTCGTAGCGTCTGTCCAAGCTGCCAAAGCCGATGTTTGAAGATGGTGGCACAAATTGAGTTATCGTCACGGTGTCCAAACACATATGGCCTTGAGGAACGATTGTCCCAGCCAGTATAGCACTATTGGTTCATCACGATAGGCAAGCCCGATCACCACGTCAAGGTAGCAGCAACGGTCGGGTACTCATGCAGCTACTCAGATACACGAATTCTGGACTGCTTACTATCTAGACTGGGTGCGGGATAGCTTCCTGACAGTTTTGTACAAGTACTTCTCGCTTGAAAGATGCGAAGGACATACCATACATACGAACACTGACTGCCAACTGATTAAGTGCGGATGGCGTGAGTTTGGTATCATGGCACATTAATTTAAATATTTATTTATTTATGGCATTATTCAGTATTATATTTTGGTACAATATAGAATTCTCAGCACAACACCATCTGCATACTCAACGTCGAAGCCTTTCTACAGACAATGCCCCCAAATGCCCTGGTATGGCCGAGAGTGGGGTGGGTTCGCCCTCCCTCTCAAAATACTCTCACACGGCCACGCGTATATAGCCTCTGCCAGGGAAGTCCTACTCACTGCCTTCTCGTGGCGGGGGTGTTGTTTACGAAAATGAGAGGACGAAAAGCGAATGTCCGGCGCTATAACCGGATCCCAAACCAATGGTGCACATGGGCTCCAGTATCCCGAAGGAACAAATGGCGTATGAACCAACTTTTGGTCACCGACTTCCATGGGACTGCATCTCCTCACGATGCTCCACT